GAGGAGCAGGGTGGTCTCAGAGGAGCAGGGTGGTCTCAGAGGAGCAGGGTGGTCTCAGAGGAGCAGGGTGGTCTCAGTGAGGAGCAGGGTGGTCTCACAGAGGTCTTCAGCAGTAATAAGAACACAGTGAGATGTTTCTCAGTCAGGTCTTGTTGGTTGGTTCTGATGGTGGCAGCAGACTCTGGACTCGTGCTCCATCTCTGCCTGGTTCTGATCCAGGACTGGAGCCCAGATGATTAATAACAACTTAATTTAATCTAACCAGTTTATATCCTTAGTCTACATTATTATATTTAAAATCTAATTCCAGCTCAAACAGAATAACCTCTTGTCAACATAATTACAGAGTGTGATTATTTTCATCTAAATATCTCCAAACTAATGAAATATAAAGTTATTAGTGAATAAAATCAGTCTGATAACAGCAGACTGACTGCTGGTAAATTATACCACAGGTCAGGACCACTCGTGATTTTTGGTATCTGAAAAATATCTTAGAATATGAGAAAACTGGTKAATGTCCCAAATTCTCCTAAATCACTGGTGCACACAGCTTAAGAAGAAACCAGTTCGTACGAACGGTTCATGAGGTCCATTGGTTCTGTTTGAAGCTGTTTTTATAATAATTCTGAGAATCAGAACTTAAAAAGGACAGACCTGCAAACATCCACTGTTTTACCTGTTAAATGTGTTTAGTTGTTCTTGGAGTCTGTAGGAGGCAGAAGAGTTCAGTTTAGTGTCTCCTGGTGCTGCAGAGATTCTTCATTCTGTTTTTAATCCATTCACTTTGATTTATTTTCTATGATGTTTTCTGAAATATTACATCAAATTACTGTATGTAACTTCTAAATAAGGTCTGAACTTATTAACTATAATTTGGTGGTCCTCATTCTGGGTCTGGACCAGATTCTGGTTCTGGGTCAGACTCTGGTTCTGAATCAGACTCTGGTCTTCTCTTGTTGACATCTTTTAATTAAAATTGTAAATAAAAAGTTTCTGTGCTGCTATAAAACCATAAAAYCCTCTATCAAACTGGAATGAACCAGTCTGGAAGCTGGAGAGGGCGGGGTTTAAAGAGACAGACTCAAAACGAGCTGATCTAGGACACGCCTCCAAAAAGGGGCGGGGCTTGTGGAGTTACAATAAGAAGGAATTCAGACCAGAGCTTTGCAGTTCCTCTTTATAAAGACAAATGAAGGGTTTAAATATGAAAAACATTTTAAATCATGATGAAGCTAAAAAAAACCTAGTTTTATATTTCTGTATATTTTTTCTGTTGTAAGTCAGGATCATTAGTAGAGACATAGTGAGTGTAAAATGACCTGAAAATAACATTAATGTTTTTAGTTATGATGTTTTTGTGTGAAGGACAGTAAAACATTTAATAAAATATAAACAGAAAGGAGGTCAAAGACCTGTTTTATCCTGCAGACATCTGAACTTTGTAAAGGTTGAATCATTTGCATCATTTGTGTGTGTGTGTGTGTGTGTGTGTGTGTGTGTGTGTGTGTGTG